TCTCCCCCCCCTGACCGCAGCTCGGGTTTGAAATGTTGTTCACTGTCCAGCGCCTTGGGACGTCCTACCAACATGATACAAATGTAATATTGTCGTTGTTGTTGATTTAAAGTCCAACACAAAAAGGCTTGAGGCTCTCTTCCTTCTGTTTTTTTTCTCTTTTTTTTTGAATATTTAAATGTCAATAAGCTTGATGAGAAACATACCGTTATCAATATACTCGAGGAAGGGGATCTCTTTAAGGACCATTAAAGTTTGTTTCTATATATTTTTCATCAATAAATACCCATTTTTGGGGTGAAATACCCCATTTAGGGAAGTAAAAAAACATCTTTCTACCTAACTTGATTGATAATAAACAAAGTTTACAGATTTATTTTTGGGATAGTTTCTGAAATTTGTGAATTCAGTTGCAAGCGTGTAGTTTCTAGGGAAACAATGGAAATGTTTATCGTAAACTCCAGCGTATATGTTTAAACTTTGGGCATGTTATAACAATAATAATAATAATAATCATCCTTACATTTGATATAGCGCTTTTCATGTCTTCTAGATGTTCATAACTTGATCTATTGAAGACTCAAGGTGAGTCAGCAACTTGCTTTTGAGTTAAAGATAAACAACAACAACAAAATTACATTTGTATAGTGCCTTTCACATCGGAAGGATGTCCCAAGGCGCTGGACAGACAGAGTTACGGATCCGAGCTGAGGGTCAGGATGTGGGAGGGGGGAGGGCAGGGGGGGGAAGCAGGTAGATCGAAAGCACAGTGGAAGAGGAGGGTCTTGAAGTGGGTCTTGAAGGTGGCGAGGGAGGGGGCGAGGTGGTGGGACTGCGGGATAGAGTACAGAGTGGCGGAAGGCCTGACGCCGATAGTGGGGCGAGCAAGGCGGGGGAAGGGAAGCAGGCCGGAGCCCGCTGAGCAGAGGGAGCGAACAGGGTTGTAGGGGTTTAGGAGGTCGGAGAGGTGGGGGGAGCAAGACTGTGGAGGGCTTTGAGGGTGAGGACTAGGATCTTGAACTGTATCCTCTGTATGATGGGAAGCCAGTGGAGTTGAGCAAGGATGGGGCTGATAGGGTCACGGAGCCTAGTGCAGGAGAGGACATGGGCTGCAGAGTTCTGGATGATCTGCAGCCTATGGAGGGAGGAGTTGGGAAGGCCGACAAGCAGTGAAATTGTATAGTTAAGCCTCGATGTAATGAAGGCGTGTATGAGGGTTTCGGTGGCCCACGGTGTGAGACAGTGTCAGAGCCAGGCAACGTGCCTTCAGCTCCCCTCTCGACTCTCTACACCCTCCTCGCTCCCTCCCTTCCCTCCCCTCACCCTGACCATTTCCCCCACTGCTCGGGTCCTGACCCAACTGTCCAGCGCCTTGGGACGTCCTCCCGACGTGAAAGGCGCTCTATAAATGGAATCTTGTTGTTGTTAATAGCATCTCAACTCTGAATCAGAAGGTTGCTGGTTAAGCCCCACATCAGGACATTTAGCTCACAGTTTAAGATGGTGCTCCAATGCAGTGCTGGAAGAGCACTGCATTGTCACATTTGTCATTCTCGATAATAGACATTGAACCAAGATTCAATCAACCCTCCTCACATGGATAATAAGATTGCATGGCACTATTTAAAAATCTCCCAGATACACAATTGGTCATTCACTTCATGCCTGTTTACAAGTAAAGTATTTTGTTTCAGACATGAAGAAAAAAAATTGTATTTTTACAGCACCTTTAAGCATCTTGAACTTTGTTATTGGGAAGTTATGGGGCACACATTGATTGCAGCTTTTGCCTGCAAATGCACAGTCTCTACACTTTACAAAAAACTCTGTGAAGCACTGTGAGACATTTGGACGTGATAAGGATTATTCTTATTATATCTTCAATTTAGAAGAATTGAGCAAATAGGAAATGTAGGAGAAATATTATTAGTGAAAGATTGATAGGCACATGGAACAAGAAACTACTGTACAAAGGAACTGGGAAAATCAAATAAAAGTTTCAGGATTATTCAATTTAGAGGTAAGTATATCCAAATAATCTTTTGGGTAATTGGATGTGAGGCTCGGTGGACTGATGGTCTATTCCTGCCTGAATTGTTACTCTGGGACTATAAATTGAAAGACTAAGACTGGTTCCTTGAAAAAAGTATTGGACAAAGATATTTTTTCATTTTATGAGAACGCAGCATTTGCAAACATTTCTTGTGTCATGTGCCCATAATAATTATAAGCAGGACTTCTACCTTCTCCTCTCAGAGAGATAGAAAGGTTTGTCAAGAATTCGCTGCCAGGTTTTCGAGCATATGGCTGGGAGAAGAAGGGGGTGCTTTCCTGAGGTGAATATCTCTTACATCTTAACAAGTATTTCTGGAATAATTGTCACCTCAGTGCCACTCTATAGGCTTCTCTTGACACTTTCTAAACATAGCTATGATGTTTACAATTGGCATATTTGAATTAGCGGCCAGACCACTTCTTGTAAGGGTCAAGAGTCTTATTTCCTGCTAAACCAATGTTTGCAAATCCATTTTGATAGTGTGCTAAACTTCAAGCAGAGCATATCGTAGGGCTGTTCAGAATCACTTACAGCATGCCCACATTCTCATCAATTACTCGATTTGCACAAACAATTTCCCTACTAAAAGTTTTAACCACTGATGCACCGAAAATACACCTCATTGTTTCATTTTATCAAAAAAAATTTAAAATGTATTTATTTGGAGTTGAAGTACAGATCAGCTATGATCTAATGGAATGGCGGAACAAGCTGGAGGGGCTGAATGGCCTACTCCTGTTCCTATGTTGCTATGTCTGAAACAAACTTAACTTGTGATTGTGAATGGAGCATTGCTACTGTTAAACAAATCTGTACTTCCCTTTGTGTTTTTAGATGTTTTGTGGTGGCTAGTGCTGCATATATTTGGCCTCTTTATTGGAGCTTCTCATATGCTTTACCACCATTATAATGTGGACATGTTGGACTGACTGATGGCTGTTTATTCAGCATTAAGGGTTTGTTCTCCCCTTGTCAGTGAATTTATGACCTTCGGTGGCGAGTGTGTATTATTCTTCGCCTATTGATAAATGGACTGACCTTTGACAGTGAATGCTTACAATAGGATTTCTCACTATAAGTCCACACTGTCAAAAGTCTAAAAGAAGCAAATGGGGAAAAAAAGTGCTTGCTGCTATTCACATTGAAAGTAATTATTAACAGAATGGAAATGCAGTGAAATGTTCATAACATATTTCACTCAAGGCTTGTTTGCTGAGCCCAAATAGCCTCAGATAGTTAGAGCCAAGTAATTCACAAGGGCATCATAAATTCGTACTTTTTCTCCTTCTGGTTTCATCATCAGCATCTTCTTGCTGTTGTGTAGCTCCTATTGCCTGATTGATTTAAACAGATTATGCTCCTGAGAGCATTTTTTAAATGCTTTGGTGGTACTAAGTACAATTTTAATTTGGGCTAAATAGAGCCAGTATTTAACGCTGATATTTGTCTTTAAAAATGTCACATGGACATTGTATCTTCTGCTTGATAAGCATTGCCACCAGCCATCAACATTGAGTGGAAAGTCTGAACTGGCGATAAATATGTCATGTGGATATTTTTAGCCTAAAAAAAAGTGTTAGCTTCAGCGTTGAACAGTCCCAACTTCCGCACAAGAAAACACATATACCCTTCTACAAAATCATATACCCTTCTATGTGCCATACAGAATGACCACATCTTCTGACTACCATTTGGCAATAAGGTTCATTTCAAGAGTAAACTGAGAATAATTTATCAAAAAGAAATCCCTAAGGTTGTCCAGAACCACATCCCACAAACATTTAATGTACAAACTTGCTTTGCTTCTCAATATCTGGAGTTATCTGAAAGTTCAGTTAAATCCTGATAAACATAAAACAAAAGCAGGAGTCGCTGGGAACACTCAGCAGGTCAGGCAGCATCTATGGAGAAAGCAAAGTGAGTCAACGTTTCGGGTCCACAAAGGGTCGTGGACGAAGGGCTTCTGACAAAGGGCCATGGACCTGAAATGTTGACTCACAGAATATACAGTAAAGTGAACTGACTGTATGTTTTGTGGGCAAACCGTAGCAGCCAATTGCGCGCAGTCGTGTTCCACCAATAGTCGTGGATTAAGTGACCAAATTATTATTTTTAAAACATCAATTGTAATTATTTTTTGAAGCGACTATTACCCCTGGAAAAGTGATCTGCCAATCGACTAATGTAATTATAATATTTAAATAATATTTTTTTAAAAAACAAGCCAAGAATTGATTTAGAAACACATGGGTAAAATTCGCGATATTCCTTAAAGCATTCCTTAAAATCTTCAAGAAATGCCAGCAGGTGGCGACCCTCTCCAGGTAACTGGTGTGTTCCTTTCAGGATCCTAGCATTTTCATAGATCCTGAAGCAAGTGATTTGTTTTGTAATAAATATTAGGCCCTGTATCAAACTCCAGATTCTATTGTTTGTTTGGAACCATTTAAAGTTAAGAAGGCGTAGAGTTGATAATGAGATTAAGTGGACTGAAGGGGTTCCTTCATTCAAACTAATCTTGTGACCACATGTGATCTTTATATTGCTGTATTGCTTTATGTTACTGTATTTAATACAGTAATATAATACAGTAATATTTAATTTTTAATTGCTTTCCCAGGGTTGATCTGTCTAGGCGGGCTGAAATTCCCTAGGCCAACAAAATTAACTTATAATGAGGAGATGGGCCAAAGCTTGACAGGATCACATGTGTTATGTTCTCTGCGGGGAGTGTATTTGTATTTAAAAACATACTTTTTTGCTGATTTTCATCTCAATATAACTTTTTTTTAAAGAAATATTCATCGGAGAAATTGAAATGAACACATAAATAAATGAAACCAAGGAATGCAATTTAATTTCTATGTCTCATACTTTGTGTCAAACTCAAAGTTTCTGTATAAGGGACTTGCATTAAACTGTATTTTTTTTCCTTTTAATTTAGGGTCACAACATTTTTGCGAACCTATCTTCCAAAGAGTACAGTGATATGATGCAACTGCTGAAGCAAGCCATACTGTCCACTGACCTCATGTTGTATTTTGAGTGAGTGTTTGGATTGATTATAAATACTTTTTTTTGTCACCAAGTATCTGACACAAGCTAAGAGTGTCTAAACTAGACCTGGAGTCGCGCACATATATATAAATTAAATATATATATATATATATGCCACCTACACGTGGAAATTTCCCTGTGTCTGGAATACGCACTCTCTCCCTGGAGGGACACACCCTGCTTACCTAATTTTGAGGTGTATTAGACACAGATTGGCAAGAGGCAAGGCTTGGGGGGACTAGACTGTGTATTGGGGGTATTGCTGGAATCCAACAACTATAACTGTATAACGTACCATGGAGCTTGCATTCCTGTTCCCAGCGATTGGTCTGCAACTTATAGTTAATATTTTTATATTAGATCTATTAGAAATCCAACACTTTCCCAGATACATCTCAAGGTGACCCAGTAAAACTCTGCTCAGATCCTGATTATGGGGAATCTCCTCCTGCATTCTGAGAAACTTCTTTATGAGTGATCCAACTTCATGAAAATCGGAAATTAACTCACCATCTGAGCGGAGGTCCACTGGGTTGGTCTGAGACTCATTAGGGTAGGTGCAAAATTTCATATTTCTGATTCCTGTTACAAATTCCTGCACTTTAGATCCAAATACTAAAAAAGAAGCAATGCGATTCATCAGATGTATTGATGATGTCTCTGTCACTGGAAATTCTGTTGGGGTGACCTTGGTTTGTATGCTTGCTCACAAAGATAAATTAGACTGTCTGTTTCTTTATCGCGTTCAGTGACAGGATTAATGCTGACTAATGTTGAGCACTATCATACGTGGATACGACATGTTGTCAATTCAGGTATGTTCTAACCTGATTAGATTCCAAATACATTTGCAAAAGTCCTGCAAAACTACTGATTTTCCACATACCTAGCTCTGATGTCAGTCTTACTCAATTTATAGACTCTTGTCTCTGACTCAGAAAGTTACAGGTTCAAGACTCTTGTCAGGACTTTGAGCTCAAAGTTTTGGACTGGGGTGTGTTTGATTGTCAGAGGTTCCGTCCTTTGGATAAGGTATTAAACTGAGGTCCCATCTACTTGTTCAGGTGGATATTAAACATCCTATGGCACTATTCGAAAAGAGATGGGAGTTTCTCCTTGTGTCCTGGCCAATAAACCTTCAGATTAATTGGTCATTGACATCCTTTGAGACGTCTCAACAACAACAACAACAACAAGATTTCATTTATAGAGCGCCTTTCACATCGGGAGGACGTCCCAAGGCGCTGGACAGTTGGATCAGGATCTGAGCAGGGAGGAAATGGTCAGGGTGAGGGGAGGGAAGGGAGGGAGTGAGGAGGGGGTAGAGAGTCGAGAGGGGAGCTGAAGGCACGGTCAAAGAGAAAGGTCTTGAGACCGGCCTTGAAGGAGGAAAGGGAGGAAGCAAGGCAAAGGCACTGGGGGATGGAGATGGAATGTCTCAAAGATGTAATAAAGCACTATATCAAATGCAAAGATTATTATTATTATCCTCCAGGGAGAGAGTGCGCATTCCATTCCAACAATCTGTCTCTGGAATTTCCATGTGTAGGTGGGATGCATGGAATTCTCAATTTGGTTGGATACCCTTAAGCACGGAGATGGGCTTCCGTATGTGTCAGACACCCAGCTGACCGAAAAAAAATTGAAGTCTGTCTGCCTATTTGGATGCCATGGCACTACTTAAAAAGAGAAGGTCAACAATCCCCCAGATAAAATTGGACATTCTGGCCAATTTCTGACCACATTCTGGCTGTAGGGTTGTTTGTGGGACAGCTGTGTTCGTCTACAAATACACAGTTATTTACTTCACAGTAAGATTCTGTGAAACACTTTGAAAAGTCTCCTCCTGGCGTGAAACAAGCTACATCAAATGCAAGGATTATGTATTTATTATAAATCCTTTGAAGTTTTGCCATTATGATAAGGTGCCATATCAAATGTAGGGTTTATTATCATGTTGCATTACTGCTCGACACAGATACAATAAAATAATTAATTTTTCTCATTTAAATTCAGGAAGCGCACAAAGTTCTTTGAATATGTCATGTCTGGAGAGCACAACTGGCGTCTTGAGAAGCGCAGGGAAATGTTGAGGTAAGTGAAACTTCCAAAATTGTTTTATTTATCACAAAGGGATATGATTATCATAATACAGTAACATGATTAGATAATTATACTCCATTGTACTGTAATGAATCTGAACCTCAAAAAGATAAGCAACACATCAAATGAGAACAATAACTTCTTGTTGGCTTAGTGTTTAGCTTTGCTGACTTACTTTGGCTTGTTTTCAAACCAATATTAACACTTACCTTTAAACTACCCAGAAGCCTAAATGTCCACCTAGTCTTAGCCTTTAGGACTATTTTTATCTCAAGATTAAAAATCATCCAGGACTGTGGAAAATTCTTAAATTCAGCATTAAATTTGAAAGCTTCCAAATTATGATGAGATTTACCAATTTTCCGCAATTCCTGAATTGTGGAATGGAAAATTATTAAATTCAACCTTCATTTATAAGAACTACGGAAAAATAACTTCCAAATTAAGTCAACTTACAAAGCTTTCTATCCATATCTTTGGGTTCACTCCCAGTTAAACCACTAGACAAATAAGTACATATATGGGAGCAAATTATATGAAGTAAAAAAATATATATGTTTTGACGAAAACAGAAGGAGCAGGAAGAGAACATTTCCTTCTTCAGAGGAAAACAAAGAGATAATATAATGAATCATTTTAAATTGTGGCTGTAACTACCATGTTCAGAGAGTTTCCCTTGTTTTCTGGACTCGTTCTGTCCCTTTATCTTGATCTGCCAGGAAATAATTGTTAATTTTATTTTGATAACTTCAGATCTATGCTGATGACGGCTTGTGATTTAGGAGCTGTCACAAAGCCTTGGGAGATATCAAAGCAGGTGAGGATTGGAAAAGTATTCCTACATTTAAATGATACAGTATTTACAAATTCTATAAATATTAATAAACAGGTCAGCCCCATTATAAAACGATCAGTTGGCTCAAATCTTTCAGCAGCTGTGTTGTAAGTGAGGAAATGGCCAACTTTTAGGTTGACAGGATCACTGCTGATATCATTTCCTGCAATGCTATGCGTACAAATTGTGGGCAAGAAGCACCTCTGACATCATGTACTTTGTGAATTGATATCAGCCGTGTTTCCTTTGCATCGCCCATGTCTTGAATATTTATTCATCACCATTTATTGGGCAGATCTGGACATGAAAGCCATGCTTCTTGAAATAAAAATGACAAAGTTAAATTTTTATCCTTTCTACCCCACATCTGCACCATGACCTGCTCTGCCTTCCCCCACCTCCACAACGTTGCCCGGCTCCGACACTGTCTCACACCGCAGGCCTCCGAAACCCTCATACATGCTTCCATTACATCGAGGCTCGACTATGCAAACTCAACGCTTGTCGGCCTCCCCAACTCCTCCCTCCATAGGCTGCAGATCATCCAGAACTTTGCAGCCCGTGTCCTCTCCTGTACTAGGCTCCGTGACCCTATCACCCCCATCCTTGCCCAACTTCACTGGCTTCCCATCACACAGAGGATACAGTTTAAGATCCTGGTCCTCACCTTCAAAGCCCTCCACGATCTTGCTCCCCCTACCTCTCCGACCTCCTAACCCCCTACCATTCTGTTCGCTCCCTCCACTCAGAGGGCTCTGGCCAGCTTCATGTCCCCTGCCTTACTTTCCCCACTATCGGTGGGCGGGCCTTCTGCCACTCTGCACCCACCCTCTGGAACTCCATCCCGCACTCCCTCTTTCTCACCCCTTCGCCACCTTCAAGACCCACCTCAAGACCCTCCTATTCGACCGTGCTTTTGATCTTCCTGCTTGCCCCCGTGCGTTTCACCCTCCCTCACACCACCCCCCAGCTCGGGTCCGTAACTCTATCTGTCCAGCTCCTTGGGACATCCTCCCGATGTGAAGGGCGCTATATAAATGTAATTTTGTTGTTGTTGTCTATTAAAAATACGGTTGATAAATTAGACTCATTTGCATAGGAGTTTGTGTGAACAGTTTATGATAATGCGAAACCGACCTGACATCGATTGTAGTGTACAGTAAAGCCCATTTTGTTGTTAAAAAAACACAACTGTTAAGCTATATAAGAAATATTAGTTTATTCATTAATTCAAAAGTCTTGAAGGAGATGGAGAAGATGTGTGTATTTGAGCATAGTGTGGATCAGTGATAGTTCTATCATCAATACAATGCACTTTTTGTTCTATAGTGAAATGTTTCTTTTTCTAATGTATTTAGTATAGTAGGTCATAATTTGGAGTTACTGTACTATTATTATATGATTACACCAAGATTCACCAGAGGATTTGCAAATGGTGAATGCTGCTCAGATGTGACTTAACAGAATTCGAAATTGAGACCAGTATCCACGCAGAATTGCAGAGGGGGGTTTGCAGCATATCCAGGAATCGCTATTTACAAATCCTTTTGAGAATCTCGTAAATCAGTTCCCTAATATCGTAGTTATGGAAAAATAATCTCCATAAAAAGGGTTCTTTCTGCCCAGCAATCAGAATGGATTTCTGTTTTCATATTTCCTTATTCATAATTTACCATGTAAGGTACCAGGACAGAAAGTGGAATGGCCGCAGTGTGATCTGAGCTTTATACTTTGGGCATCTGTTACTTTTCCCTTGATGTTTAACACAAGAAGCACTGTGATATCAATAGAAACAAATACAAGATGCAAGTGAAGTGTTGAAGTGCAAAGCTGAGCAATCTAGAGCGATGCAATGTAACAATATTATACAGTGTAACCGCGTGATACACTTGAGCATTAATATATTCCAGCAAAACCATTCTAGCAACAGTGTTAACTGCTGAATTACAATAGTCCCCACAATATCCTGTGATATTTCAAAATCCTGTACAGCGCCCTTGGCAATAAGCAACAAGTACCCACTCAATATTATGATGTGGACATCAAGTATAGAAAATGTCCTAAGTTAATTACTGTACCCTGCAAATTAGATAAAGGAAAGTAATTGCTCTTTGAATTATTACACCTAATCTCATTCAGAATGGTAAAAAAGTGATTCATTTGATTGTGTGAATTATTAAGCAATCTATTTAACTATACTGGAACCTATTTACATATGCAACAAAGCCTTGTTCCATTTATTCAGCCAGTGATGACTGTGTTTTCTGCTCATATGTGAATTAATTCTTATTTTCTTTTGGCCGAAGAGGCACATCATTTTATGCATGCTGACGTGGCGCAGGAATGTTTTTATGACATAATGATTTTCCTGCACTAGAATGGTGTATTTCAATTTGAATGACACGTTGCACCCAGATCCTTTTCAAACAATAAAAGGTGTGCTAAGTCATTTTCATTTGTTGATGAGAGGCTTGTAAATAAATGGATTCTCTCGTGGCATGTCGTCCAGTGACCTCCACACATGTGTGTTTTCTGAACTTGCTGACTCAATGATATGGGTGTGGATTGTGTCATTATCTGACATTTGACTGAAGTGAAGCAAGACAGGAATGTCTGTTTTTTTTTCTCTCAATTTTACTGCTCACCATTTGACACCACTCAATATTATGGTTTAGATTTCAAGTGGAGAACATTTCCTAAGTGAATTTCTGTACCCTGCAAATGTATAGGGGATCAATTTATGGTCTTTATAACAGTTTAATGTGATAATTATCACTGTGTGATGACTACTGGATTTTGCTGCTAATGAATGCAATGCACCACTACATTCAATAGGCGAAATTGCTACATTCAGAATATGATTTGCACTTGATCAGTCTGGGACAAATATACACAACAGTTTTGTACTATATTGTAGGTAGCTGAACTGGTAACCAGTGAGTTCTTTGAACAAGGAGACAGAGAGCGTGCTGAGTTGAAGTTAACGCCAGCTGTAAGTATTATTTTAAAGTCTCACCCCTTAAATTTTGTCCTTCACTTATTATTCCTTTTATTCATTTCCCTTATCATTATCACTTGCCAGCACTCAATATCTTGTTCAGCACTGTCTGGAGACTTACAAATTGAGGGGGATTCACACTATTCAAGTTAATTGGGAAGTCGACACTTTAATAATTATCTCATATATTTCTTTCACTCAGCTGTGGGACACTGTCTTGAAATATTATGCAGTAGGGGAGACTGGCTCACAATTCACAGTCTAAAATGTCAATCCCACTGGTTTATACAAGGCAAATACGCTTAAACCCTGGTAGGCTAGACCAATGGGTGGGAGAGGGGAGAGATTGAGTCTTGCGAGCTGTAATTTCTGGCTAATTGTAATTACAATGTTGGTGCTGACATTTACCAGCTTTTTTCTGCAACTTTTTCAGTGTCACAAAATGCCAGCCAATACCGGTACTGGCAATGAAACCTTGGGCAAGTTTCCATACTCCACACGCCTAATAATAATCCCTCCAAAACAAAACAATAATAAATGTGTCCCACAAACAGTCATGGTCATTTTCAATCCACGACTGTTTGTAGGACACGGCTGTGCGAAATTGGCTGCCGCGTTTCGCCCACAAATATACGGTCAATTCACTTTACAGCATATTCTGTGAAGCGCTTTGAGACGTCTAGAAAACCTGAAAAGCGCTATATCAAATGCAAAGATTATTATTATTATGCAATTGTTTGTATCCCGTGAGCAGATGCTAGTGAATATGCTATTTTCTGCTCGCAGGATTCAAACTGAGTCAAAGTGAATACCTGGCCACTGAAGGCCAGCAAGGAAGGTGAGGTGGAGACACGGACTAGGAGAGTGGTCGGTGAGAGTTTACATGTGTGTGGGTGTGCGGAAATGTTTCTGGTTCGGGACCGGTCTGCCTTAGGTATGAATTTCAGATAATCCAGGATTTTCTGTAACTGGTCTTAACCATTATGGTGTAAGTGGCTGGCTACTTAATGATCAAATTGATTACCGGAGAACCAACATTTCTCTTGATCTTTTTAAGAATTTTTCAAATTTCTATATGATCTTACATTTTAAGAAAATGATCTAGGGGCTAGGGGTATGAGAAATAAGTCAGAGGGCAAATACATTTGAATTCACTGATTCAAGCGGTTTGGACTGAAACTAATTCAGAACCGTATTCTGTCATTATTCCTAACTTGGCAGTAAATCCTGTGAAGCACTTTGAGATGTCCACTTGTTCTGTACCAAAAATAGAAATTATTTACTTATTATTTATGATTCACATCTGTGTTAGGTATTGGTGTGGCTCCAATGTGTGTTGTGGCACAGTAATTTCATCATATGCTCTGGTATAGTACCCGCAGCAGAGAACACACCAACTTAAAATATTAAATGAATCTTAGTGGAGGCAGTCAAAGCAGAATGAAAATTGGTAGTTGTATGGATAATTCTCACACTGCATCACAAGAGCACAAGACAAAGTTCAAGATGGTGTCCATTGAATGGAACTGGATTTTCCAACAGTGAGACTTTCTTACACTATGACATGTATTTTGCTTTACATGTGGATCGTGGGATGTTTACGGGGAGATGAAATTAATTGAGCAAAATGTCCTTCTGCAGAGTGGATGTTAATAGGCATCCTGTCCACAGACTCTTGTGACCCTATTCCTCACCTTCTTTGAGCACCTCACCCTCTACCATCCTTCTTCTCTCTTCCTCAAAATCCTCCTAGTTTCCCGCCTCTCCAACCTCCTGGCTTCTTCCTCATTGATATCTCCTCTCTCCTCTCATCCCTGTCCCTCTGCACTGAGCGCCTGATTTCAACCTCCACCTAAACTCCCCTTGCACCACCTCCTCGGATTTCACTGCCTTCCTCTCCTCCCTAAACCTCAACCTCCACATCATCTAACCGACCCACAACCGTGGCCACCCCCTCGACCTCGTTATCACACACGGCCTTGACATTTCCGACCTGTCTATCACGGACAAGGCCATCTCGGACCACTTCTTCATTTCCCTCTCCTCCCGCATTCCTCTCCCCTCTTCCAAGCACTCCAGTTGTTTTTTTCATCCCCTGGAAAAAGTTTCCCCCTGATTCCCTCAAAAATACCCTCTCTTCCTCGGACCTCCTCTCCCTCTGGCCCTCCACCCGCAGCGATCCTGATGCAGCCATCATGCTGCTGAATGACCGTTTCTCCACAACCTTCAATTCCCTGGCTCCCCTGAAATCCAGGGTTGTTTCCAAACCTACCTGTACCCCCACCAGTCATCTCCGTTCACTTAAAACCCAATCCTGGACACTCAAGCGCAGATGGCAGAAATCCAGCCTCACAATTCACCCCCAGCTGTGGCTTGAGCACCTCCACACCTACTGCCTCTCCCTTTCACAGGCCAAAACTGACTTTTACTTCAAAGTCATCTTGGAGGCAAACAAGAATCCAAAGACGCTGTTTTCCACACCCCATCACCTCCTCCATGCACCCTGTCAAGCTCCCTTGTCAAAGTCACAAACGACATTCTGTCTATCTGTGACCAAGGCTCCCTCTGCCTCCTCGTCCTCCTGGATATCTCTGCTGCGTTTGACACAGTTGACTACGCCATCCTTCTCCACCGCCTCTCCTCTCTCATCCACCTTAGTGGAACCACACGCACATGGTTCAAGTCCAACTTAACCAACCGCCTCTATTTCTTCTCAGCAAATGGTTTCTTCTCCCACTCCCACCTGGTCACCTACAGGATACCCCAGGGCTCCATCCTTGGCCCACTTCTTTTCCTTATCTATATGCTCCCTCTGGGCGATGTCATTGCAGACACGGGGTAAACTTGCACATGTATGTGGAATGACACACAAATCTACTTTGCCTCCACTAGTACCAACTCCAGGTCCACTGATGTTCTATCAGCTTGTCTGGCAGACATCAGGGTCTGGATGAGTTTCCAGCGCCTTGAGGCATCCTCCCGACATGAAAGGCCCTATACAAATGTAATTTTGTTGTTCTTGTTGTTACACATACTTCAGCTGAGTGTGGACAAGAGGAAGCCATACTCCTTGGCTCCCATCAACGTTTTCACTCCTGCGGATCTAAACTCCTCAATCTCCCTGGGCTCTCCCTCAGACATACCGAACCAGTGCGCAACCGAGGTGACTGGTTTAGTTGTGCTTCCTCCACCACATCCGGTCCCTGACCAGGACCAGCTTCTTCCACCTCCGCCACATTGCCCGCCTCTGACCGTATCTTACCACAAATGCAGCTGATACCCTTGTGCTTGCGTTTGTCACCTCCGGCCTGGATTACTCAAACGCACTCCTCGCTGATCTCCCCATCTCCACTATTCACAAGATTCAGCTCATTTAGAACTCTGTCGCCCACATACTGACTCGGATCAAACTCCGTACCCACATCTCACCAGTTCTGGCCAGGCTCCACTGACTCCTCATCACTGAACGGATCGACTTCAAGATCCTCACACTTGTGTTTAAATCCATTCACTCTCTGGCATTTCCCTACCCCTCCAACATCCTCACTCCCCAATCCACCACCCAGTGCCTCCGTTCAACTGGCACCGGTTTCCTGCTCGTCCCTCGCACCCTCTGCCCCACCATTGGAGGTTGTACTTTCAGTCACTATGCCCCAAAACTCTGGAACCTTCTCCCTCAATCCCTCTGTCTTGCCTCCTCTTTCCCCTTTTTCAAATCCTGCCTGAAAACCTTCCTCTTTGACCATGCTTACAGTCACCTCCCCCACCAACCCAGTCAGGATCCACCACTGTTAAGCGCTCTGAGACACTACCGTGTGGCAAAGTCCAAGTTGTTTTTGTCTTGTGATTAGCACTGTAGTGATCAATTGGAATCATATCTTACATTAGAATACATTAGAATATACAGCAGAGAAACAGGGCATTCAGCCCAACTGGTCTAAGGCCGGTGTTTATGCTCCACATGAGCATCTAAATGCATCTATGCTATTTGCCTCAACAACTCCTTGTGATAGCATGTTCCACATTCCCACTATTCTCTGTGTGAAGAAATTTCTTCTAACTTCCCTATTTGATCTATTGTGACTATTTTATTTTATGGCCCCTGGTTCTGGTCTCCTCACAAGTGGAAACGTCTTCCCTATGTCTACCCTATCAAAACCTTTCATCATTTTAAAGACCTCTATCGTCACCCCTTACCTTCCTATTTTTAAGACACGGGGTAAACTTGCACATGTATGTGGAATGACACACAAATCTACTTTGCCTCCACTAGTACCAACTCCAGGTCCACTGATGTTCTATCAGCTTGTCTGGCAGACATCAGGGTCTGGATGAGTTTCCAGCGCCTTGAGGCATCCTCCCGACATGAAAGGCCCTATACAAATGTAATTTTGTTGTTCTTGTTGTTACACATACTTCAGCTGAGTGTGGACAAGAGGAAGCCATACTCCTTGGCTCCCATCAACGTTTTCACTCCTGCGGATCTAAACTCCTCAATCTCCCTGGGCTCTCCCTCAGACATACCGAACCAGTGCGCAACCGAGGTGACTGGTTTAGTTGTGCTTCCTCCACCACATCCGGTCCCTGACCAGGACCAGCTTCTTCCACCTCCGCCACATTGCCCGCCTCTGACCGTATCTTACCACAAATGCAGCTGATACCCTTGTGCTTGCGTTTGTCACCTCCGGCCTGGATTACTCAAACGCACTCCTCGCTGATCTCCCCATCTCCACTATTCACAAGATTCAGCTCATTTAGAACTCTGTCGCCCACATACTGACTCGGATCAAACTCCGTACCCACATCTCACCAGTTCTGGCCAGGCTCCACTGACTCCTCATCACTGAACGGATCGACTTCAAGATCCTCACACTTGTGTTTAAATCCATTCACTCTCTGGCATTTCCCTACCCCTCCAACATCCTCACTCCCCAATCCACCACCCAGTGCCTCCGTTCAACTGGCACCGGTTTCCTGCTCGTCCCTCGCACCCT